TCGTAAATCAGCTTGGTTGTTCCCTGGACTGCGGGTGAGTTGACGACATTCATCACCGGTTGCTCTGACGATAAAAAAAAAAAGAACTCTGACCATTGGGGGCTAGTAGATGGAAGTTTGAGCCTGGCGTCCAAAGTTCTCACACGACAAGGCTCGTCCGATTCCGCTTCAACCAGGGTTGGGTAGGGATACAAGTCGTCCCGGCTCATCTGAAGCCCTGGTCCAGTCCAGACTTGTCCATGGGGGTTAGCCTGTCTAGCCGTGGTGCCTGCACCTGCTATTCAGTCCAAGTTACCGTCGAGATACTGGTGGGTGATGATCCTGAGTGATTATCACTGACGTAGGATAGTGGGAGCGGGGGTGTGCTAGCCTCTAGGAGAATTAATGAGAGGAGGGGTAGGGTGGTGGCCTCACAATCGTAAGGACAACCAATGGCTGACTACTGACTGTGATCTCCGTGAGTCTGCAATCTGGCCTCTACAACAATCTGGGCTTAAAATAAAAAATAAAAAAAATAAAAAAAAGCTAGGCGCTGTATATTAGAGCTTCAGAGTTCAAGTCTGATCGGCTGGTACGTCACGTGGCATGGAGATAGCTGGGATGCTGGCAGGGATGGCATTGATCACATACTTGGTTACTCTAGGCCTTTGCTTCCAGGGGGCCAAGGGGCTACGCAAAGGGTCCTGTAGGGGCTGTCCTGGGTTAGACAGTGGTGGGATAATGGGATTGCCTGCTTCTTTTTTTCCAAAAAAGCCCAGGGTGTTGTAGAGGCCAAGGACCAGACCCACGGTGATCGCTGGCAGCGGCAGCCGATGGTTCTCTTGACAGGATAGGCCACCTTCCCTACCCTTCCCCCACGTTAATTCTCCCAGTGCACCCCCTATCCCTCCTATCTTACCTTAGTGTGACCAGCACTCAGGACCATCACCCTACCAATATCGAGGGCAACTTGGACCAGAAGGCTGGGCAGCCCCCCAGCCCTAGTGGAAGCGGAAGAGGATGAACCTTGCCATACGAGAACTTCGGACACCAGGCTTGTGCAAGATTTTTCTACAGGCCCAATATCAGAGGGTCTACCCAGGAGGAGTACCTAGGCAAGGCAAGCTGGCGCCCATGGACACATCCTACCATCCTTCCCCAAACTTACCCAAGGCTAGGCAGAATTCAGACCGGCCCGGAGCGACTTATATCCCTACCCTACCCTAGAGTCTAAGCCATGTGTGAGCAGACCCCGTCATGTACCTGATAGAACCCCCTCGCCTGGTATTGTAGTTGTATGTATATGTGCGCCCGGAAGCTATGTAATCACTTAACGCTAATCAGCAAGGCATCTCCCCAGATCTCCCTACCAGGCCTCAAGCTCCCGTAAGCTACAGGGGGGGCAGCAGCGGCCAGCGTCATCCTGGCCTCGGCCGATGACAGGCTACTGAAAGCGTTAGTAGCCACATGACCCACAACATCTAAGAGAGCCCTCAGGATGCAAGATAACCGCTCTTACTGAGCCCCTCGGTTCAGTCAGCCTATCTATATCTCTACATGGAGGCCCAAGTGCCTCTTACCATCTACCCTTGCACTCCCTACAAGAGGAAGTTTGGCCTCAAATGGCCATGCTTTTTGAGAGTTTATATAGCTAGAGGGTGAACCACGATTCAGAAAGGGGAACGGGAACCCAGGGTGGGTCTGAGCATGTGGACTAAGACTGCTACCTAGGCTGGGACTGGCAGTAGCGACGAGAGAAATCCCACAGCTGGGTTGCTCACCAGGTAGGCACTGGAGTGATTCGATATCGTGCTTTAGCCTCAGATGGCCAAGTCATTCAGGAAATCTTCAAGAATTTTTTCGACAAATTATACGACCAGCAAAGGGTACGCGGCATCGGCGGACAATGGAGACTCTGAGCCCTGTAAATGGGCCAGCTCCATGCAGGCATCTGGGCACAAGGACTGACCAGAAAAAGACGAAGAAAGACCCCGCAACTGGTGCAGACCAGGTGGGCACAGTAGCGATTCGATATCGCGCCTCAGACAAACTCATATGACTCCGGAAAGGGGTAACTGCTATGCGACAAAATTGATGACGACATGGTGGCATCGGCTGGTCTGTATGAATTTGTTCCAATTTTTGGGTTCTGTTCTTTAAGTTATTGTTTTTGTTTTGCTTATTTATTTATGAAGTTAGTAATTTGTGCGTACGGCATAGAGTCCGTGATGTCACATTTTAGATGGAGAGAACAGTACATAATCGCGGGGGATGCCGAACCCACTACAGCTTGAGCAGAAGGAGTAGAAGGGCTGTAATGGGCAAGTGTTGTATGCCCATCACTTAATGTGGTTTTTTGTGAGATGTAAACTCCGACTATATTAATTTTGAGTAACTCGTGATGAGCCAGGCGAACGACTCTGCAGTAGCGCTTTGGAACGCTCACCTGGTGCCGGTGCGGTGGTGCGCGTACTGCTCGTGACATACCGCGTCGTGCTTACATATTTATTCTACATTCTTGAGCTGTTCTGGCTCATGCTTATGTGGATGTCGGTTTCAGACCGACGAAGGTGTTTCTCCTTATTCGCAAGGTGTTGAGCTAGCCGAGCCAGTCACTGTGACTTTGCATCAAGTTGTGGTAGCAATTACGCCTTCGAGGAGTTGTTTGACAGTCGTCTGGCCGCGCGGCCTATCGCCAAGGTGCACACGGGAGCTGACATTAAGGGCGTAAGTACGGGCGTGGACGAGGCAGAGGCAGGGGGAGGTGGTCAGGGTGCAATCGGTACTCGATGGAGACACCGGCGGGTTTGCAAACACCTCCGGTGAGCACACCAGTACAGGCGAACATCCAGACGCCAGCCCAACCCATGCAAATCATGGTGGCAATGCTAGTAGCCGCGCCATCGAATATGTAGCTGCCACCTTGTAGCGGACCCACCAGGTGTGGTGCTCCGCTAGTGACAGAGATGGAGATGGAGGAAGAAGGGGGGGAGCGAGATGGCACAACGCAGCTCCCCACGCGAGACTCCAACGCACGTACTCCAAAATGTGCAAGTGAAGAATGAGGCTGAAAACAGACAATGGTTGGGGTATACCCCAGCGGACTGACGGGACTGGACTGGACTGGCTGGTACCGACAGAGGTACCGGCCTGGACTGGCCTACCCCGGATACAACACAGGCCTGTGAGAACAGGCCAAGGGGCTGGTCTCACAGGCCAACCGAAGGTCCGCTACACGATCCTCGGCCTGTGATGGATCGCCTAGATACAAACATGCTTCCGCCAAGAAGTGGAACTCTACCAAAGAAAAGAAAACCTGAGTAGTCTAGGATGCGGAGCAAGCTCCATGCTGAGTCCATGCGATGCAACCTAGGATATAAAATGTCACAAAACAGCAATGTCACAGCTAACAGCCTAAGTGAAAGTAGAAGCAACTAACTAACATASATGTCCTAGGAAAGCAAAAGCAACTAACKAGCATACATGTYCTAGGAAAGCAGAAAGTAGTGACAACTAGATTCTAGAATGTTGGAGGCACTAGCCTCAGTCTGGTAACAACTGACTAGTGTATAAGTCCTAAGAACARCAAAAGCAGAACARCTAAAYCCTAGAAATGTCGGAGGCAGTAGCCTCAGTCTGAGAGCATCAAAGCAATCAACAAGACAACCATATGTCACATGAGAAGTGTGTCGCAAACCAAAGGGTGGGATGGTCTCTGAGGGTGGCGAATGCAGCCTAGGGGTCGAAACTCCTAAGGGCATCCACACATAGATAACAGGGAGACACATATCATCAGGCTCAATGAGGGTAGGGAACTGAGAGCGAACAGGACCAATGACCCTAACAGATAGACCATCAAGGCAGGTAATGCTCGACTAAGGGGTGACCGCTATGGAGGGTCGACCATGGGAATAAGGGAGCCTGGTATACTGGGCGCACCTAGATGAAGCATGCGGGGCTGCCTAACTAGGGCGTGAGGGCCGGCGAAGGGTAGAAAGATGATGGGTAAGGGAATCATGCAAATGACTCCTAAAGTGAGGGAAGTCGGAGCTAGATCTGTGAGATGGGAAGCCAAGGCAACGCTACGGTCCCGATGCCTATGCGTATACCAAGGGAGAGCTCAACGCAGAGGAACCCGGCTAAAGGGAGACCATCATGCGACACAAGCAGGGTACTGTACAGGGTCTGTCTCTTATACACATCTAGATGTGTATAAGAGACAGGGGTAGAGGGGTAAGAGAGTGGCGACGTCTGAAGTAGGCAGAGCTGATCGTGATGAAGTCCATGGAGCTGCCRATGACGTCCACGATGAGAAGTCCGGAATGTCGTCGAGGAAGAGCTGCAGCGTCGACGAGCTGAAGTAGCAAAACTGATGTGGATGGAGTACTGAGAAGTCAAAGACGTGGGAAGGTAAGTCAGAGTCAATCGTCGTATCGAGCAGGACGACGACGAGTGCGCTGTGGACGCTCAGAGGCATCCGACTGCTGCTGAAGGTCTGCCTCAGATGGAGCAGGCTCGACTTCAGCGGTCTCCTCAGCCGGAGGAGAAGGAGGAGGGTCAGTGGGCTGAGGAGGAGCAGTGAACCCAGCACGACGAGCACGGTCATAGGTACGCACCAACATGCGAGCGTGCTGCAAGTGCTCGAGGGGCTCCCAGGTAGCCTCCTCATCAGGGTAACCCTTCCAACGTACGAGATACTCGACGTGGGGAGGGTTGTCGTCGATGACTCGGCGGCCAATGATGTCTGAAACGAGGAACTCCTCGTGGCCATCCACCATGAGGGGTGGAGGGCGCTCGTATGGTCGTCCAGCGAAACGCTCCGATGGTCTGCGGTAAGGACGCAGTAATGAGACGTGGTAGACATCATGCACACGAGCCTAGCGTAGGTAGTCGGGCAGCTTCACACGAAAGCTGACCGGGCTAGATGCCGTATCAGAACCGACGGCCTGGAGAATGCGGCATGGGCCAAAGAAGCGAAGCCGAAACTTGCGAAGCGTGTCCGCTTCAAGCTGTAAGTGGCGGGCGTCGATAAGCACATCATCACCGACCTTGAATGGGTGATCCATCCTCGATCGGTTCGCACGTGCCGCCATGCGAGTCTGGGAAGCGGCTATGTGCTCATGTGCGGTCTTCATAATCGACGTCATGTGTGCAACCCAATCATCCAGCGCGAGACAACTCGTGTCAGGGTGCATCTGGGACGGTCGAAGGAAGTTCGCGGGAACACGAGGGTGATAGCCGAGGTCGCAATAGGAAGGCGACATCCCCGTGGCTGGCGAGACGGCATGGTTGTAGGCTATCTCCGCGTGGGCAAGATGAAGATCCCACTGCTGGTCGTCACGAATAATCTTTTGAAGAATATCTCCAAGAGTCCTGTTCGTGATCTCGGTCTGACCATCAGTCTGAGGATGGTAAGACGAGGAGAAGCGGAGCTGAGTGCCGTATACCTCGTGGAGTCATCGCCAAAATCGGCTGGTAAAGCGCGGGTCACAGTCAGATATGATGCTCAGAGGTAAGTCGTGGTCACGCACGACTTGGTCGAACACGATGTCGGCGACCTCACGTGCACTGATGGCATAGCGGCACGGAACAAAGCGTGCACGCTTCGTGAAGCGGTCGACGACGACCAGGATAGCATCATGACCGCGAGGGGTCGGAGGACGAAGAGGATCGATAAAGTCCATCGAGATGGACTGCCAACGACCCTCAGGGATAGGAAGAGGCTGGAGCAAACCATAAGGCAAGTGGTTCGCACTGTTCACCT